ACACTCATAAGACCGTGAATGCCAAAGCGAACCAATTGCAGAGGATGTTCAAAGTTGCTTACTTTTCAGAAATACTTTTTGAATGTTTTACTAGGCTATATTTACATGGGGACGTGTTTTCCTTTTCGGCACATTGCTTAGCAAATCCTCTTTTGCTTGTTTGATTATTTTCTCTGGATCAATGTGACTTTAGTTAAGTATAACATGACAAGAAATTAGAATTATTATTTCCAAGACTATTGAAATCATATTTCAAAAGCCTGTCCCATTGTTGATTGGTTCTTAACTAAAGAAGAGATACAAGATTTTATCAGTTGTATGGAGCATGAAGTAGATTAGATAGTACTATGGTGGTTCTCTTTGCAGAGTTAACATAAAATTTCCAATCCCTTTGACTTCTACTCTTGTACCATTTTTAGTCAAGAGCCATTTGCCCTTTTGATGACATCTACGAAAATCTGTGAAAGCTCTGCTTTTGTGGTCTGTTGCCCTTAAATCTATGATCTATAAAGGATTATATTTGGCTATGAGAATAGTGTCAGATGCACATGCGAAATACAAGGAGATCTTGCGCATTTTTGCTACTCAAAGTGATCCTTGCCAATGTGCCTTTTCCCTCAATAAGACTTTTACTTGATCTTTATTAGATCTAGTCTCTTTATAGGCTTATTGCCTTTATTAGCGTTAGGTTTGGAGGACAAGTCTTCTACCTCTTTAGTTAAGAATGTATGGCTAGTAGATTTCCTATCCTCTAACCTTTTAGTCTCAAGCTTAATATAGTGAACCACATCAAAAGTCCCACTCTTTTATTGTGAGTAAGGTTTATTTTTATGTGCTTCCACTTACTAGGAGAAACCTTTTGACAACATGTACTTGCTGTGTATTGGAAAGAACATGTTCTCAGTCTTCTTTGACATTTTACCTCATGTATTGCACCTACTGGATACATTAGGTCTTATGAGCATCAAGATTTGACTAAATGCCTTGTGAGAAGAGTGTCAACAATTTCGTCTCTCAAGGCCATCCTCATAGCCTTTGTCACATTGCTCAAATTGGCATGTTATGTTGTCATACTTTGCATTAAGTATGGTAATCTAAGTAATATTTTTTCCCTCTTTTAGTTAGCCATGAGCTTTATGTATCCTTTGAGGTGCTTCAGCTTTCTAGTGCCTAAAAATAGTATTTAAGACATCTATGACGTCTTATTTCTCATGAATAAAAGAGATTTTACAGTATCTCAAATTACTTTTATCTCTTATTGAACTTGACTCATTAGCTAAGCTCAATCAAATGGACTTGGTTGTCATAACTCAATAACATAGATGATTATACATTAGGGTATACAATTTGTACTTGTTTAAGTAAGATAAAGATTAATTAGATGATAAATTCATTAGTTTTATGTTCAAGAGTCAACTATGTTGGCTCCCATCCCATTCATGCTAGTTAGCTTATCACCTTTTTAATGGTAATCTTACTTAAACACATTCCTCTCTTGGATTTCTAGATATTACGGTCCAGAAACTTGCACTCAATTAAAGCAATTATAAGAAAAATAATAATTCAATATTTTATTATAATTGCATGAATGTTCAAAACAGATAAAATTTGTTTAATTCAACTCTAGGGTAGGAATTTAACACAAAGTACAACCAAAAGAATATTCATACATAAAAAACAATGTCTCATTATTGTTTTATTAAGAGTGGGATTGACTTAACTGTATTGCATTGACTTACATGCCAATTTTTCATGCCTTACTTCTTGTATTTAGCTTTTCCTGATGCTTTATCTAGCATATTAGCGTAAAACTCGATATCCAGTTCATCGGATGTGTTTGTAGCGTACCTCCCACTAGTTTCTTTTAAGATGATTATTCAAATCTCTTCTGGTTACATCCCTTATCACAACACTTGTGAAAAGGGTTGATGTTCCTTTTCAATCTCGATCTTCTTTAATATATTGAAGGTTCTGGAGGATTTATTTGCTTAGTAAAATTTTCTTATTTAGGTTGTCGCAAAAATTAATTATTTCTTATCTCTCTAAGTTCCTAGTGTTTTTTTTGGTAAAATTTAAATACATCTAAAACACTTTTAATTATGAAAAACCTTTTAGTATAAATATTAGCCTTTTGTTTTATCTCAGAAATTCTCTTAAGTTATCTAAAACCAATTATGAATTTAAATTCGATTATGAAGGTTTAAGTATTTTGTATGTGTACAATGACTTTATTTTACTTTAGAATAGGTCCAAACATGCTTCAAATATAAGCCAATTGCATATCAAAATAAAGTTCTTGAATTTAGAAATTTTTAGAGACAAATCGAATTTCAATTGGAGGTCCCATGCACCCACAAGTGCTTTTCAAAAGCTCTTGGACACTAAAAATTTAAGAAAAATGGATAAAATATTTATTTTGACTATTGGAAATAAAAATGGACTCTACTTACCACTAAGGAGAGTCATAGAATTTTTTTTTAAATCAATCAAACTTTGACTGTTGACTTGTCCAGGGTCAATTGTTGATCGTTGACTGGCAAAGGCCCTTGTGGGTGACATAATTGTCTTTAACTTCCAGTCGGGTCAGCCCAACCCAGCTGAAGATCCAATGGATCCTCTCAACCTGCTAATTTTGAATAGCCATATCTCCCTTGTTTTAGCTCTATTTTTCACGTTCTTGGTGTCGTTGGATTTGTCTCTTTGAGCACTATACATTTATGTCCTTTGTGCTCTTAGAAGGATCCATTTTTTTCTTTTTCAAAAGCCATTTTGAGTTCCTTTTATGACAATTGCAAAGGATTAAAGTTGCATTCTTATATATTTAAACAGGTTCAAGGACTCCTTTTGTACACCATATCCACAAAACAGATCAATCAGCAAATATATGTATTTACAACACACCTAGAATAGAGCCACCCATAACTCAGCACACAAACAAAACAAATTTCAATATATACATCACATATATATAAGGCTTTAATACAAGAAAGAGAAAAAGAATGCATAGCTAAATGAAGATTCAAAAAAATATCCACTTCCCTTATTTAAAAAAAAACTTTATCAAAGAAAAAACAATAACACAGCCTCAAGATCAGTGTGGCTCTAATGCCAATTTCAGAAATACTAAATATAAAATAAGAAATGCATATTGGGTTGGATTCATGTTTAGATCTAAGTTATTCCTTCAGAGCTCTACGAGTTGATCTACCAGCTCATATAGAGTTTAGACTACTAGAGTCTAAACTTGAGTGGCACAGCAAAGCACCACATAAGAAAGAATATTAGAGAGAGAGAAAAAGAGGAGAGAGAAGAAGAACTCAATTATTGGACTGAGTTAAACTAATGGATGGAGGTCTTTATATATAGCTTTGGTTAGGGGTATCTTTTGGAGGCAAAATATCCACTAACTCTATTAGTTTAAATTTGAATTTGAATATTCAAATATCTTTTAATTGATAAGATTCTGAATTTTAATTTAAATCCAGAATCAACCTTAATCAATTCTAAATATATATATCTATAATATATATTTAATCTGGATAATATAAATTAATTTAATTTATATCATAACTGACTGTATTTAATTCAAATTGTTTAACTAAGTCAAATATATCGCAATCTTGCTTGGATATTTGATTAAAATATTTTTTTTAATATCCAATTAAACAATTCCGCATATCAAGGATGGAACCAAGCCAAAAAATCTGATATTTTTTGATGATAATGTGGTATAATATCAGTATTAAAAGTTAATTATCACTTATAGTGTGAAGAGTTAATTAATAAGAAGTGATTTTATAATTTTACACAAGTAATAATTGACTTTTAATAACAATATTATACCATATTATCATAAAAAAGTATTAGTCCATAGATATGTTAATATTACCTGTCACTGTGTAACTTGAAATAAATTTTTTTCAAATATATATTATCAGATAAATTGACAAGTAAAGCAGTAATATTAACAGCCATCATGATCTATATTGACAACTTTCTTTTTAACATTTTTTATTACTAGGGACAACAATTTTTTTTTTTTACTTTTTCATTATTGTAGTCAACTCTTTTTAGGACTCTAAAGCAATTATCAGATTTTGAAAGTTTTTCTTATAATATTTTATCTATTGTGAGACATCAATGCAACACATTATATGTTTTCCACGGGGAAGGTGAAAACTTGAATGCACGCGCTAGGCACAAGAATTAATGTGTTATTTTTTTTTTGGAACTCCCACAAGTTGATATATTAAAATAGAGAGTTCAAATATTACAAATAGTAAGATAGCTTATATTAACTACATTAAATGAAAAAACTATTTTAAGGAATTTCATCAATATAATAAGAAGAAAGATTATAAATAAAAGAGAACTTCAAGAATTAATGTGTTGAACATTTGATGAAAAGTAAAATAACATTCTAAAACATAATTAACATTTTACATAAAAAGCTTAACACTTTAAACCGATTATATAACAGTGAAAACCAAATTGTTTAACACATAGTTAACACGTTAATTACAAAATTAATTTGTTACGCCACATGAATGATTTAATTAAAAAAGGGCTTTAGAGTAGAACGATAAAACATATTATTAAAAATAAGGTTAATATACAAATTTATCTCGAAAGCTTTCAGTTAGGGCATTGGTATTTGAGGACAATATTATTACGATTTTAAATTTTTGAGGGAAATTTACATATTAAAAAAACTTCTAAATGTTTAGTGTATCTGAATAAAAATTTTTGAAACAAATTGATACATTATCCTTAAAAATATGAATTTAGATTATAACTATGTTGATAAAAAAAAGTTTTAACAAGCTCATATTATTAAAAATTATTATAAAAGTTAACTCGTGTCAAAAGAAACTCCAAGTTAACTTGAAAATGGTGCATATGAGTAATTGTCTGTGCGGTTGTCTTCATTGTTGGTCATCACTCCCTCCCTCAGACCCTCGCCCGTATGTGCGCATAAAACCCCTTAAAACCCCCATAATCCCATTCTGAAATGAAAAAAGAAACCGGGAACTGCACCATTCTCGAACTGGGACAGATTCGGACATCCTTTAACTGATACTTCTGTCTGTGCAAGTGCTTACCCATGCAAATTTCTGCTTCCGTGAACTGTATTGATAATATAGCCTCTCCCATTTCCAACAAGGAAGTCTGCAATGGACCTTGCCCTCCCGTGCAGACCAAACCCACTTCATTTTTCATCATCAGCACTTCTTGGAACCTATCAAAATTCCAAGTTCTTTAGGTTAACCGCATTGCACGGACCGAAAATTTCCCGTAAGAAATCCAAGCTTCGAGCTTCAGCTTCGTCAAATCCAGGTGGGACCGGCGGGTTTCCTTGGTCTGACATTAGTCGATCGTTTCAGAATGGTTCGAAGAGGTTTTGGCTGAAATTTGGCGATGCGGTGAGGAACGAAACGGGTTTTGACTTGGAAGATGCAAATAGGAAGGTGGTTGAGTTTACGGAGCAAGTTAAGGATGAAGCCAATAAAAGTAGAGCCGAATTGGAAAGGTTTAGGACTGAGGGGGTACCTGCGTTTGTCCATTGGAATCGTTGGGAACGTTGGAAGGTAATTTATCCGTTATATGCTGGAAAAAGATTTTCAGCCCCTCCAAAGTTGCTTCTTATTATTAGTAGAGAAGTGTTGCACTCAGTTTTATAGCAAAGAAAGAAAAAGGGAAAAGAACGGGAGTGTTGCCTTCATGTGGAAAATGTCTGCAGCGAAAAAAGAATGGACTGTCTTTAATGCTGTTGCATTGCACCTCCCTCGTAATAGCGTTCCAACGTTTAATTGCAACGTTTAATTGTATCAGAAGCTGACTTAATTCCTAAAGGCTTGTCCATGATAACAATCAAGCTGACTTAATTACATTGTATATCCTTCACGACAATAGCTGCTAGTGTTGAACAAGATGGTTTGCCGTTTTGATGAAAAGTGCTTTTGGTTTTAATGGTTCCATATGGGCTTGTTTTCTGGTGTTTTCTTTCACTAAAATGTAAATGAAAATTATTCAAATGAGATCATGTTCGTTTGATTAGTGATGCTGGGTTAATGGCTATATGGCGTTCATTTATTTATTTCTCCATTTCTGAAATTTTATTTGAAAGAGAAGTAATGGCAATTTTGGTTTAGCAACTGTTGCTGAATCTGTGCAATTAGGTTCAGTTATTCTATGTCTTTTATTTATTGCTTTATTCTTCCATTTAAAAACTAAACAATGTAGCTTGCTGTTGTTCCAGGATCTCAAGAATTGGGAAGCTAAACGAATTGGTGTTCTTGTTCTTTATGCCCTTGTTGTGGCATTTTCTTGTAGAGGAATATATGTAGCAGTTCGAGCTCCTTATCTGAATCGCCAAAGAAAAGAATTAACAGAAGCTTACATGGAAGCATTAATTCCAGAGCCATCCCCCATTAACATTCGAAGGTATGTTGATTCTCTTTTATTTTCAGATGCATTGGTTAGAAGTTACACGCATGGACACACGCCATAACTTTTTGATGTTAGGTCCCTTAATGGAACATGGCCTAGGCCTTGGGCTTTCAAGAGGATGTAACTTTTGTAATGAACCATAAATGTTATATAGCAAACTTATCTGGTTCTACCCATTGAAATTATATCCCAGTTACACGTTGTTGCCTGTTAAGATGCTCTTTTTACTTGGGTTTTCCTTCTACCAGATAGCCATCAAAGTTTATCCTTTTTAAACCTTTCAGAAGCTCTGAAGCCATTTCAGATACTCAACTTTGTAACATGTTAAGCTCTTTTATCCCGGATGATTTTTTTTTTTTTTTTTTAATTCTTGAATTGCAGATTCAAGAAGGGGATGTGGAGGAAGACAACACCCAAAGGCCTTAAAATGAAAAAATTCATTGAAAGACCTGATGGAACAGTCGTTCATGATAGTTCCTATGTTGGAGAGGATGCATGGGATGATGATCGAGATATGCCTGGGGAAGATTTAAAACAAATTATTGAAAATGATAAGAGATTAGATAAAGAAAAGAAGAAAGAACTGACAAAGGGCTTGGAAGTTTCAGGTAATCTAGTATGCTTCTGACAGAATATATGGATACTAGTAAAAATTGGCTCAAGACTATGCATTAAATTTATTCTATCTGGGTTGTTCTAATAGCATACAATTTCGGTGCTTTAGCTGTTTTGAACTTTTTCTAACTGATTATAAGAATTTCTATTTTTGAAAAGGTATGGTTGTTTGATGCTAGATGATCTCAAGAAATGCTTATGCTCTGGGAGAAATCACCATTGTGTTTCTCACAGTTTCGTTTTTCATGGAAAATATACTTTGTTACTTGTACTTTTTACTAATCAAATAAATTAGAGAAAAAAGGATGTGTCTTTGCCATAATATTTCTTTTCTTACAAGAAATATTACATGATCACTGTACACCCTTGGGGAGCTTACCACTTGTCATTACAGTGATGCAAAAAGATTCAACAATGCCCTATTTCATGTAAATTATTGACTATATTTGAGCTTGACCAAACCCAACTACCTATCCCTATCTGATTATGTTTCCATCCCTAACATAGTAGCTCAAAGTTTTTCACTTAATATTTCTGACGTTGGTTTCCTTTCTTTTCCTACAACTACAACTGCATATCATTTATAATCCTGGTTTCTTGACATTACTGACACTGCTCTTGGTTTTATAATGGTATTGATAAGATGGTGACATGAAGTAATTATGTAGGGAATTCGGTTTAATCTTTACATGTTTGTGGCGCATTCATCCTCTTGATTTCCAACGTGATATGGTTTTCATAGCAGGTGAAGTTCAAACTGGGGGCACATGGCGTGAGAGACTCCATAAATGGAGGGAGATCCTAGCAAAAGAACGCATTGCAGAGCAATTAGGTTCTGTAAATGCAAAATATGTAGTTGAATTTGACATGAAAGAGGTTGAAAATAGTCTTCGCAAAGATGTGGTAGAGAAGGCCGCGGCCTCAAAGGGAACTAGAGCACTATGGATATCTAAGAGATGGTGGCGTTATCGTCCTAAACTTCCTTACACATATTTTCTTGACAAACTTGATAGTTCTGAGGTGAGGTGCTGTATCATCTCGATAGTACAGATATTATCACCTATAATTGAACTTTTCCAGTTTTGATTAGGTATTGTGCATAAGGATTTATTAAAATCTAATGGTGAGTGTTGGTAGTGGTGTCGAACTACGAGAGAGCTTAGCCTATTAACTGTGTTGGTGTTGTTATTTCAAGTTGGCTGATAGATTACCAGTCAAATGAATTCTATTGATTAGCTGGAATGATCAACCGCTAAAAGGGCTGATTCTAGCACTAATAATTTATTGAATTGTAAATCTTTATATTACCATTAGCATGGGTAAAATGACTATCTAACCCAGGCAGAACTTGATGGAAAATGTAAATTAATGTGATGTACTCTTCATCTTTTTCACTAAAGGATTTATATAGGCAGTATTATGTTTTGGCATTAATGCTTTTCTGCGATCTTGTCTGGTAACATTACAAAAGAATAGAAATCCCACATAAAAAATGATAAGAAAAATGAAAGGGTATATAAGTTTGTGGCAATCTCAACCAAATAGCTTAATCTATTTTGGTGAAATCGACTTAGACCAAACATAACCCCATACAAAAATTACTATGGTATCATGCAAGATTCAGGGTCCTAAAAAAAATATCAGAGCTAAGGGCTCTGAGATTTAAAAGTAAAATCCTAAGCATTGAAGAAAAATGTTGTGTCTTGAGGCCTTTGACTTAGAGCACAAGCCCATGCAAGAGGAGTCTTAGAGAATGAAATGGACAAGCCCAAGCACAAGACTATACAAAAATCAACGAACATCACAGAAAATACGACTGCGGAGTCAAATTAGATTTGTTTATGGCTGTCTTCATTGAATTTAGGGGGTGTTTGGTAACCTTGAAAAGTGCTTCTCAGAAGCACTTTTCCGCAAAACGAGACAAACTCCTCTATATATTTACTTCGTAGACCGTAAAAACACTTTTAAAACCACGGTTTAGTTTCTATCCAAACACCCCCTTAAACTAAATGATTTTATATTGGTCCTATTATTAAATCATTAATATAATGTGCAGTCCAGATGAGTTAAACTCGTTAAATTTCATGCATGTCTTTGACAAACTAATGTCAGTTTGTGAAGTATACTCTTGTGGACAGGTTGCAGCTGTTGTTTTTACTGAAGACTTAAAGAGATTGTATGTGACCATGAAAGAAGGTTTCCCATTGGAATATATCGTAAGTTTCCCTCTGAATTGTTTTATTTCTGATTAGACATCTCTCTTTGGGATCATGATCTACACAGCATGAACATTATAGAAAAAGGGCCTGGCACACATGCAACTGGTGGTATATTCTCAAATTAGACATGAAACAATACAGCACTAGGTGGCCCTATAAATTGCTTGCAGACAGTCCAAATTGTCATGTTGCCATGCTGTTGTCCGGTATTCATGTCAATACCTGTGTTTCGTAATAATTGTTTAATGTGTTATTTGTTTTTTCCCCCCTTTTTTTTGGGGTTTATATTAATGCAACTCTTTTCATATAGGTTGATATCCCTCTTGATCCTTATTTATTTGAGATGATCTCCAATTCTGGAGTTGAAGTAGATCTCCTTCAGAGGCAGCAGATCCATTATTTTATGAAGGTTTTGATTGCATTATTGCCTGGAATTCTGATTCTTTGGCTTATAAGGGAGTCTGTGATGCTCTTACATGTTACTTCCAAGCGCTTTCTATACAAAAAGTATAACCAGCTTTTTGATATGGCTTATGCAGAAAATTTCATTCTGGTAAGCTTTTGATCTCCAACAATTTTTAGACCATAGATAGCAGCTGCAAATTACTGCATTTTGCAAAACTTTGTGTGAGAAGAGTTGTATTTTTTTAAAATATATTTTTAGCCACAAATATTTTGCTTTTGATACTATAATAACATGAAGCCTGGTTATCCGTCTTGCTCCATATATTGATTGTCAGCCAGTTGGGGATGCTGGTGACACCAAATCTATGTACAAGGAAGTTGTGCTAGGGGGTGATGTTTGGGATCTCCTTGATGAATTGATGATCTATATGGGAAACCCTATGCAGTTTTATGAAAGGGGTGTGCAGTTTGTGCGGGTAAAATATTTAATTTTATATATCCATAGTTAACGTCCTCAAAGCATTCCTTCACATGATATGTAATCAGATAAGTAGTTTAATGGGGAAGAATATTTCAGGGTGTTCTCCTCTCTGGACCTCCAGGAACAGGAAAAACACTTTTTGCCAGAACACTTGCAAAAGAAAGTGGACTGCCTTTTGTTTTTGCATCTGGTGCTGAGTTCACAGATAGTGAAAAAAGTGGAGCAGCTAGGATCAATGAGATGTTTGCCATAGCCAGGAGAAATGTAAGAATCATCTACTTCCAATATCAATACAACATCAAATGTGAATTTTTTTAAATTGTCGATTTTGTTCTATACTTTCTGTTAGACATGCTTGTGCTAGGTATGCTTGATCCATTTTCCTATTTGTTACAATGTTTAGTAGTTGCGATGAGAATTTGAATGCATTCCTTATTCTCTAAAATATCTATGTTTATATATCTATAAAATCTCATACAAACTGCACTGTTTGTAAGTCATGTATGACAGTGCAGCTTTTCTCTGTAAGTTACTATTTACAAGCCACATGAATACTGTGACTTGCACTGGGCTCCATGCCTCTCTTTATCATATCGCTATTTTTTTTTTAAAAAATATTTTCTCTCTTTTACTGATTGAATTGGAATTTTGAATTTCCCTTTTAAAATTTTGTTCAAATCAATGTATCATTCAATCAATGATTTTCTATCAGGTTATTATTTATTTCATGCATTGCCCAGGAAAAAGGATCTTAGGTAACATTCATTATCTCTTGTTCAGTGTCCACACCATTACAGCCTTGTCCCAGAGGGGAAACAGAGGACTTGTCTTATCTGTTCCTAATACATAGTTTCTTAAGATTTTGGACGCAACAACTTAATTTTATTCGCTTGCGATTAGGGTACATATATGTAGAAGCTGCTAGGTTTAGCCGCAAGTCAGCTATTCCCTAGAATCTTACTAGGATTATGAAAATATAATAACTGCATATCAATTCTACTCTGGCCGAAAATACAAGGCCCCCTAATATAAAATGGTTAAATAATAAATAACACTAGCAGCATGGAAAACGGCACCTCCAACAATATGGAGTAAAATGGCACACTTACCCTCAAGTTAGCGAATGGATGTTGATCATTCCCAGCTTCAAACTTAGCTCCTCAAATCTGTCTCTGGCGAGCACTTTTATTAAAATTTCTGCCACTCGTGCTCTAGTGCATGTATGGGTGAGATCTATGACTCCTGCGTCAATTTGATCCTTTATACATGCTTAGTTTGATCATGCAATATAGGATTTTGTGCAATTCTTATAGCAGTCTTTTTATCAAACCTTGTCTTCACTGGTTATCAACCTTAATTCTGTGTTCCATGTGACAAATTTACATTCAGCTTCAGCTGAATTTCTTGCTACTACAGTCTGTTTCTTGCTTTTCCAAGTTTATATATTACCTCAGACATAAGTATAATAACCTATTGTGGACTTTCTATCAACGACACATCCTACACAATCAATGTGTGTAAAGAGTAACATTCCGTTCTCTGTTGTCAACAAAGAGTAAACCCTTTGCAGGTGCCTTTTTGAGGCACCTCAGTATTCTGTACATTGCGTCCATATGTTCCTTACGAGGGTCTTGTGTATATTGACTCACAACCCCTATTGCAAAGCTAATGTCTGGTATGGTATGGGGTGAACAAATGAGCCTCCCAACTAGCCTTTGATATCTTTTTCAACTGGAGATGTTCCTTCCTCTGATATCTTCCTTTATCAATTGGACGTACCAGGTGGTGATAATTTAGGGTCATAGTGCCGAACAGTAGCTATTGCTACATGTGATTTTCAGCTTTGATACCATGAAGATTTTTGGAGGCAGAACAACTTAGTTTTGTTCACTTGAGATTAGGGTACATATAGGTAGCAGGTTTAGCCACAAGTCATATATTTTCTAGAATCTTCCTAAAATCATAGAAATAAATGAAAATATAATAACTGCATATCAATTCTGGTCTGGCGAAAAATACAAGGCCCACAAAAATAAAATAATTAAATAATAAATAACCCAAGCAGCATAGAAAATGATGCCTCCAACAATAGGGAGTAAAATGGTGCACTCCAACAGTTTCTAATCCAAAACGCTGCTTGTAGACATTTAGCATGCATAAAAACATATTTTCATGTCTTGGCCTCCTATTTGTCTTGCAACTTTTTTGGCTTTTCTTTGGTCCTACTTCTACATGAACCTCAAACTGGTCTAGCATTAGGGGAAGTACTATAATACCTGGGTTTCTGTTGGAATGAGAATTCTATTTATCCTTTATTTTATTGGATCACATGTGAGCACTTGTGGAAAGCATGCATGCAATTAGATGACTGGTTCTTAGTTCTATTCTTGGGTCCCAGATGCATGAAAATCAGCTTGCTTTTCCTCATTGAGAAGCAATTATTTTTCCTAACTATTTTTCTTGCGTGAATAGTGCTTGACAATTAAAACTTGGTTGACATGGCTAATATTATCATTATTTTTGTGTAGGCTCCTTGTTTTGTATTTGTTGATGAAATAGATGCTATTGCTGGAAGGCATGCAAGAAAGGATCCACGAAGAAGGGCAACATTTGAGGCTCTGATTGCACAGCTTGATGGGGAGTAAGTTATTACTTTCATGAGGATGTTATATGGATTTTGGAATTTAAGTCATGAAAATTTATGTTGCGACAATTTAGAGTTTGTTGGTAAGTTAGAGACCTTCAATTGTGTGGCCTAGGCATAGTTTTGGGTAATTACTGAAGAGTCACGAAGTGCCAATGGTGAGTCCGACAAGATTCAAGATGAACAATTTTTGTGTTAACCAGGAATTTGCAAAAGACAACTTTGAGCTTTTTCTTTCTTGCAGAGTGGCTTCTTTAGTGAGGATACGCTGTGAGTCAGTAGTCTTATTTTTTTTAATATGAAAGATAGGATAATATAGAGTCATTTGAGAAAGGGTAGAGGAAGACTGAAGAGAACATTTAATAAAGTTATTGAGCAGGATCTTTTGGTTAATAATCTATCCAAATATTGGATTGTTGATAGAGCACAATAGCATCCCGTGATTGTGTAGCCGACTCCACCAAGTGGGATAAGGTTTTGTCATTGTATAAAAGGTGGGAGCACCATAGAAGGTGTGCTATGTTAGCACTGTTGTAGGTGAAACTGGATTCTATTCGCTGGTGTGTTTGAAATACAAAGCTGTAGTGGATATATATGAGAAGCAAGACAATCATGCACAAGACAGATGTGAGAGCAGATATTCTATTCCCTAAACTTACACTAGAAATATTACAGTGAATGAACAAGCATATTTACAATAAATGACAATTAAAATTGACCACAACTGTTATACTAGGTTATTTACAAAATAGATTTTTCATTAAGTTGTATCAACTTCTACGTGTCATGCCTAGTCTATTTTTCTTTTATTTTCTTTCTTTCTTTTTCTTTTTTCGTTCCCATACCTTAGTAGACAATGTTGAAAATTCTTCCTTCCAAAATCCGATTTGATTGTATGAGAAGAAAATTAAACTATGCAGTAATATGTTTGGTTGCAAGAGATGAATTACGGAGGTAGAGTGACTGGTAATTAGCAAGATGAAAGTATGATTGTGATAAGGGTAAATTATAAGGTTGAAGTTTGATATGACAGCCTTAACTGCTAGGATTACTACCTTATGATTACTAATACCTTGTCTTTTAGGTAACTTAATAATTCATGAGAATAGATATGATTGTTGCCCAGAATTCCGTATGAACTGCTGGACCCTTGAAACAATTTGATGGAATTCAAACCAAACTTATTTAGCAAAAGCTGTTGTCATGCATTTTCTTGCATTCTCTGTCATTTTTCATTTCCTACTTTTTGAAATTTGTCCGTCCTCTTCAGTTTTTGTTAGGATTCTATCTTCCCATTATTGTTATCTTATAAAAAATATGTACAGATTCGTACTATCATAAAAGAAATATAGTTTCAAATGCTCCCATAATAAATACCACCCACGTCATCCCTGAAAGCCTTAATCTGTAGGGGAGTTTTGTTCTAGCAAGTTTTTACTTTATTGTTAGGTACTTTATTTCATCACACAATTTTTTTATGCTCTGGTCATAGGATTTGTAACAAACTGTTCTATCAGGAACTTCTTTCTTCCTTACTGATTATTTTTGTGGTCCTCAATTCATGATGCTAGGAAGGAAAAAACAGGTGTTGATCGTCTATCCCTCAGACAAGCTGTTATTTTCATCTGTGCAACAAATAGACCGGATGAACTAGATCTTGAATTTGTTCGTCCGGGACGTATTGATCGTCGTCTTTACATTGGTTTGCCTGATGCAAAGCAAAGGGTACAGATTTTTGGGGTGCATAGTGCAAAAAAGCAACTAGCAGAGGATGTGGACTTTGGAAAGGTATATATCGTTGAACTATCCTCTATAGAAGTTTATACAATCACTCGGTCAAAACACACAATTTTATAATGAATAATGAAACACATGGACAGAGTACTTAAAGTCAAAAGTATAATAATTAGTTGGAGTTAGGTATCATTGCTGCTGTCCTGTGGAATTATTATATATATGCAATGCTGCTGCCTGGCACAATGTGAGAATGATAAAGAACTATTTGCAAAACAGGCTGCATTCTACTTTTTCTACTTGCTTAAGCTATCACCTGCCAAAATTAATGAAGGATTGGAGGATTAAAGACAGGGAAAAACAGGGCCTCTGATTTATTATTGATCCCTAATTAATCTGAATACAAAAGGCCTTTATATAGGCAAATACATATGCTAATGGGCTAAACTTAGAATCTAATCTGATCCTAATATCTCTGATTTATTCTTCTAAAATAGATGGGATATGATAAGATATTAATATAGGATACACAAAATATCAAACCTGACATAAATAAGCATATAAATAATGATTAATTAATCCTAAACTTGCTGCTCTCAACAATTAATATGGCTTTGCTCCAACAAAGAATAATGGGCAATAGTGTATATGTACCATTTGCGTTATAATTTCTCAAGGATTTTTGAGTACTGCCTCGATTCTGATATCATTATGAACCAAATAATGGTATCAATGTCTGTTTGACTTCTCCGTTTTTCAAAAATGAAATATGGCTTATCATTTTATGGGAAATGCTAATATATAGGATGAACTTTTTTATTAATTTCATGTCTCCCGATGCTCATTTAGCTTGTATTGGTATATATATTCTGTCCCTCTTAATGTGTGATAAATCTAGTTTCCTCAGTTGGCTATGTACTTGGACTTTCCCTGGGAAGTTTGTCTATAGATGAGACTTGATCTGTTTTGTGCTGACTGTTACTGCTCTCTCCTTTCTAATTGACAGCTTGTCTTTCGCACAGTTGGATTCTCCGGAGCAGATATAAGAAACCTTGTGAATGAAGCAGCGATAATGTCTGTAAGTCCTATTTTTACATTTTGTTGAAGAGAATAATGATCGACTTCCGCATAACATGTAAAGTCTCTCAGTTAACTGTTAGTTTCAACCGTGTTGGCTCTTTGGCCACAAAAAAAGGGTGGAAAAAAAAATTTGTTGGCTCTGGTTTACTCCAGCCACGTCTTGATGCAACTTGGTGGAATGGATTATATGGAAGGGATAAATTACTTATATTTAGATAAAAGGGAAATAGAATTTCTTATTTTACTTTGTTTCTGTTTTAATTTAAATATCTTATCTGCTGGTTCTAGTTCTTCCATAGAAAAATGTTCTGTGAAATGTACATGTATATTTTTTCCACTATATGTATTCTATATACAGATGAAGCATTTTTAAATGTAGTTAGAGCATTTTCTAACATCCGCCTGAGTGGTCTTCTCCTCCTAATTACTTTGGGGTTGTTTGGATAAAACTAAACCATGGTTTGGAGAATAGCTTCAAGAGAATAGATTCTTGGGAGAATAGATTTTGTGAAGAATGGATTTTGTGAAAAAGTGATTTTGATAAAGTGAAAGTATTTGGATAGTTGCTATCAGAAGTACTTTTTATATGAGCAAATTACTAAAAAAGACATAAATTAATATGATAACTACACAAAAGATGGATTTTATAATATATTTTAATTTGAAAGAATAAAATTGTCAATAATATATTTTTTACCGACATAATTAATGACATATAAGATAATGTAATTAATAAATAATTAATGTGTATATATATTTGTAAAATATAAGATTAAATATGTTCATAAAAAAATAATTGAGAGGTATTAAAATCATATTATTGTTGAGATCTACTTTGACAGGCATAATCATACTCTTCAATTTGAACCAGAAGGAAAATGGATTCACTTTTTCCGAAACCATGGTTTTGGTCCCAAACCATGGTTTGTTAATTTTACCTCCTGTTTGGCAACTTTTTTACCCAAACCATGGTTTGGGATGTTACCCAAACAGGCCCTTTATCAGACATGTCAACTATGAAAACATAGTTATTTCGAATAAGATAGATAGTTCTTTCCACTTTCTGATTGCAAGCCAATGCCTTTCTCTTTCATTGCATTTTAGTCATATTTTTAAGCATTCTGTTGTTGCTGTTTGCCCATCCCACAGCTAACAACACCCACTTTCCTCTAATAACCCTCTCGCCTATTGTCTCACCTCATCGTTCCTGTGTCCAAGGAATTGCCTTAATAACATGGTCAATCTTTCCTTGGTTTTCATAGATATCCTCTTGCAGATGATTCACTATTATTCGCATGTCCATATGTCTGACTGTAATATAGCTAGAAGTCAAAAGTCACCTTGCTTCTTTGACCATGGATGAGGTCAGGTACAATTTTGTGAATTTGTGGAAAAATTTTGCAAAATATTACCCCTTTATAGCTAACCTATACTGCAAGGTGGGCGCATATTGGAACATGTGGCTGCACTGCTTGCATTCTCTTTCATATGCCTTTCTCATTTTATTATTATTTTTTGCTGTTATTGGTTGACTTAAAAATATTAGTTTTAAACTTAAAAGAAACTTCAAAATATATATGCAACTTTAGAAACCACTTAGCTTTGCAAGTTTGGTTTCTTGGTGACTGGATTATTATTTAATGATCTGGATATATCATGTTAGGTACGCTTATAAAATTTGATTGCATTGAAGCCTTGTGTAGCATTTCAAAATGTTTTTTCTCCAGTAGTAAACCATAATACAACATTAATCTAAACCTTTAGTTGTTTACTTTGTTAATCATGCAAATCTTTTTTGCCTGCAGGTTAGGAAGGGTCATTCCAAAATATGCCAGCAAGACATTGTTGATGTATTAGATAAACAACTGCTTGAGGGTATGGGTGTCCTTCTCACTGAGGAAGAGCAACAGAAAATCGAACAGAGTGTATGTGGATTGTTTTTTGTCTTCCTATTGTGTCCTTTGTCTTGGGAAAATCATTTGGTACTGAAGTTGCCGCCATAATGCAGATATCTATTGAAAAGAAGAGACTGCTTGCTGTCCATGAAGCTGGTCATGTTGTGTTAGCTCACTTATTTCCTCGATTCGATTGGCATGCCTTTTCACAGCTCCTTCCTGGTGGCAAGGTGTGACTTCTGATTACAGAAAAATGCAGTGTGATTCTATTTGTTTGATTTTTTTTTAATTTATGAGGCATTTTTGCCCCCTTGACCAGGAAACTGCAATATCTGTATTCTTCCCGCGAGAAGATATGGTGGACCAAGGTTACACAACCTTTGGCTATTTGAAAATGCAAATGGTAGTTGCTCATGGTGGTCGTTGTGCTGAACGGGTCGTCTTTGGTGATGACATAACTGACGGGGGAAGAGATGATCTAGAAAAGATAACAAAGGTAATCAACACATGAGGAGATTTTGCTACCTAGAACTCATTATAAATTCTTCAGTATTGCAAAAGTAGTTGGGATTTAATTGCTACTTTGAGTTTTGTAGATGAACACTGAAAATTTGATATTTTATTTGATAGTTTGTATACAGATTATATAGAATGAAGGAGGGGTAATCGCAGTGGAGATTACAAAAGATATTCCTAATATTCATCTACCCAAGATAAAAATAACAGCATATTTACAATAAATATAATTTATTTATTTACATGTTAACCACAGGTTTAATAATTTTGTTCAATGGCATTTAAATGTTTTTTCTTTTTGGTGTTAAGCCAGTGGTTACTTTGGAGGTCACTTTGCTCGCTCCCTCCCTCCCTCTGTTTGTGTGTGTGTGTGTGTGTGTGTACATCTGTCCGTCTGTGTCTGATATTTTATCTTACTTAGTTTCCTTCCTATCTCACTTAGTGGCATAAAGTTACTTCTTATTGTGGTAGTCTTCCCCGCTATATGGATTCATTTATTCAAAATAAAATTAGAAAGGAGTGAAGGACTAATGAAAAGAGAAGCAATATTATGGTTGTCCTTTCATCTTATTTATAGAACTAATCTAATTCATATACATGCGTTCATATCCCTTCGGTTAGGTGAATGAATCAGACTTCATTCTAGATCTGACAACTTACTATGCATTATTATATTACAGCTGCAGCATCACTTGGAAAATTTTTTGCTTCCCAATTTTTTGGGAGTAGATTGTGTATCTTAAATACACTTATGTACAAAGCTTGTCTGTATCTTATTTTTTTATAACTTGTTCAGGACTTTTCTCATGAAAGACCCTTCAAGTTTTTTTTGGCTCGTTTGGTAGGAAATAGGAAGAATTTTTTTCCCCAGTTGTCTTTCCCCTTGCTTTTATCCCCCAAAACAAAGGCCTTGTGCTTCTGGGATCTGCATTTTTCTGTGGTGCATATTAAATCTTAGTATTTATACGTGTATTTTAATCTAAATTACTCTTGCTTAAAATTGGTTTCCAGATTGCTCGGGAGATGGTAATCAGCCCTCAAAATAAAAGGTTGGGGTTAATGGCTTTGACAAAAAGGGTTGGCTTAGTTGATCGACCAGACAATCCAGATGGCGAGTTGATAAGATATAGGGTATTTTTATCTTTGAAGTCACATATATGGACATTTTTTGCATCTATAATGTAAAAGCGATTCATTTTCCCTCTTCATGGATGTGTAGTGGGATGACCCGCAAGTAATTCCTGCCAACATGACATTAGAGGTGTCTGAGCTCTTTACTCGGGAGTTGACAAGGGTAATTATGATTTCCTGGCTTTTAATCTTTGTGAGAAACTCTAGGCAGCATTACCTACTTCAATTCTTTAATGTGATCAACTTCCTATTTCAGAGGACATGACATTAACATATTTGCTTAGAAGGTAGTTAAAGGAAGAGAATTACTGGGAAGACGTAGGATTTGTATTAAACTGCAACATATTTGGGGTAACCCTTGAAAGATTCCCTTCTACTGAAAAAGCTGATTTCCTCAATGACGTAATTATTAATTGTCATGAAGAAAACTTCAATATCAGAGGAGCAAGATGACATTTGATTTGAGCAATGATAAGTAACAACTAAATCGTTTATTGCACTCTTATGTACGGTGTCTGTTTCATGGTTTAATTGGTACTGTTTGTTGAACTCTTGTGGTTTTATGTTTGGAGCTCTCGGTTGCTATTTCTGTTCTGAGTTTATGCTATCCTTCAACAAGTTTCTTGCTCTATAGAAAAAAAAGTAATAAAATTTTAAATGAGAATGTTGAGTAACTGATATATGGTGTTCTCTTCCTATGTGGTTACATTATATTAGTAATTATCTTTTAACAAGTTATGGGCTTGACTGTCCTCACAGTACATAGAAGAGACAGAAGAACTTGCAATGAAAGCTTTGAGAGACAACAGGCACATACTGGACTTGGTTGCAAAGGAGCTATTAGAGAAGTCAAGAATAACTGGATTGGTGAGTTCTGCTTAAGTTTCTGTTGTCATCTGCTTATTTACCAAATATCCAGGAAAAAAATTGACAAAAAATTTCTAAAATGAAGAAATTACCCAAATTCTTCATGTCCATTCACAAGTTTTTGAGCCTATTTTTCCTTGTATCAGAGTCTTGTCAATCAAAATATTTTGGTAGTACATTTTATAATAAAACGGACGCTGAAGTATATTCACTTTTTTTTTGGGGGGGGGGGGGATCTTTTGGCTTTAATTTCTGCCGCTTTTTCATATACGTATATGAATGTTGTGTTTCCATTTTTGAATAACTTCTGTTAGTTTTGTTCCTTAGGAGGTTGAAGAAAAAATGAAGGACTTGTCTCCGGTAATGTTTGAGGATTTTGTGAAGCCGTTCCAGATAAACTTGGAAGAGGTGAGTTCCGCCCTATGCTTAGTTGTTTGAAGGGGGTACCCCCTTAGGACTCATTGAGATACATGTTTGCTAATATCAGTCAGACCATCAATATATTTGTATGTTTGATTAGATTCGCTTTGTAGTTAATGCCTGTTTATAACTTGACTTTCATTTCAATTAATTTTTAACTATTATAAATAAAAGGTCCAAACATAGAAGTAATCACAGATTATGCAACTTAGGTGTAAAGAATAAAAGGTAGAACTATAAATATGGATCATTATAATAATTTGCACTAGCGGACCAAACAATATGTGGCTATCAAGTTCAAATTGCAATTGAATACTAGTTCTCTGCGATTATTTGGTCCTCCAATGTGGAAAACTTATTTGGTGGGTACTTATTTATAATTCTCCCAAGCCAAAAAATTTATCTGAGTCATCGAATTTTTGTCCCTACCTAGTTGTGGCAGCTGGCTAGCTGGCGTTTTTGCATTAGCAAACTATGATGTAAAAGCATTGTACAGTTTCGTGGCTTGTCCGGAAACATTCTTGATTTTCATATCTAGAAATTATCTATTTGGATTTGGCGCTGCTCTAATTTTCTTTCATGGACATTTGAGATTAAATAACCATACCTATTCCCGTTTGTCTCTAAGTTTATGCAGTAGTAATCCAAATTGACCATTTGTAGCTATTTTCCCCTGACAACTTTTTTGGACCTATTCTTTTCTCTCCCTTTTCTCTTAATGAACACCTGGAGTAACTCAGGTATCTTACTCTATTGTAGAAGGGTCCATTGCCTCATAATGACAGACTTCGATATCAGTCACTGGACATATATCCTGCTCCACTCCACAGATGCTGACACATTTGAATGCCAAAATCATACACTTCCAACAGTTTCTGAAAGGAAAGAAGCCATTGAATTTGGTGATGTGTTGGTTTCTCCATAGAAGGCGGCATGCCTCCCTCACTTCTTGGCAGGAATAGGGTGTAAAGGTGAATATATAAGAGCTTTGCATAAATTTGCTCATATTGCTCCCTAGAAAGCAGGTGAAATATTTGTGATGTTTATGCAAATCAGGTACAGTATTGAAGGCCTTGGAAAAATTTTGTCATTCAGAGAGCCTTGGTAGAATTGAAATAAGCCCAGGGGCGAACTTTCTTTTGCCAGTCTTGTGAATCTCCATTTTCAACAGGTCTTGTATTTGAAATTCTCAGTTTTCAAATTTTGAGGGGCAAAAAATTTGTATTTAATTTGATTGCTTGAATTCCTTCGGCATCTAGTCGAATCTTCTGAGAAGAAATGAAGTTGAATTCGTTAGCGAAGTAATTAACTACAATTTTTATCAGCGTTTTCTAAGAAAGTCGTATATATGATTGCGATCTTAATCTTAATATGACAATGAAAATGATACGAGTGAGTATCAAGTTTGAACAAGGGATTGTAAATCTTGTGATTTCCTATGTCCAGTATTTAATATAAGAGTGAGTTGGAGATTTAATTTAGTTTTAAATATAAGACTTGAATTCATTTTGTTTTCAATATTTATTCGTTTTGTCCATAGGTAATTCTCACGATAATTGTACATGTTAAGGAGTTTTTATCAAATGATAGTTTAAATGCATATGATTTTTTTTACAAGATTCTTTTTTTAAAAAGACAAATGCATGTTAAAGGTATTTTAAGAAAAATGATATTCAATTTTTTTAATATACTAGAAGAATATTTATTTATTATAAATAAATAACTTAACTGTTATAAATAAAGAAGAAATATAAAGAAGAATCACACAGAAGAAGAGAGGATCAACAAGAAAGAGTATTTCTCATTCCATTCAAGAGTACTCAATACATTATACATGGTCTCTATTTATAGACACAGTTTTACACCCTTGATAGAATTTACAGATTACATAATAATATGAGATAATTATGGGATACAGAGATAATAGGAGATATTAGAGATAATGAGAGATATATGGACATCCACAAAGATATCATTATATTCATAATACTCCCCCTTAGATGTCCAATATATATGAATGTGTCTCGTTGAAAAACTTCAACTAGTAAAAACCCTGTGGAACAAAAACCTAGCGAAAGAAAAAGAGTACATCATTCATTGATACACTATGCAATACTGCCTCATTAAAAACCTTGCTAGAAAAACCCAGTGGGACAAAACCATAGATAAGGAAAAAAGAGTACAGCATGTATCAACTCCCCTTTTTGACAACATTAGTTGACATCTTCGAGCCTCCAAAATCTAATATAATGAACAACCCTTCCAAATATTGTACTGAGATAAAAACGTCAAATATGAATTTCATGATCTTCTGAAAATCATGAGACGAATAGTCCTTTTATGGTTTATCCACACATGGATCATACTATGATCTCTTGACATGAGGATCAAACAAGAATACTTTATTTATATAGTCATTAAGATTAGTCTTGGATACTTTCAAATAAAATAATATTACCTCCACGGTATCTTTAAAGTAGTGAAGAATATTTTTAACTTCATTCCAACATCTTCATATTAATAAAGAACTATATCACGCTAATGAGCAAATGATAGCTCAAATTCTGTATAGCTAGATAGATATATAAATGCTTCAGTGACACTAAGATATGGTACTTCTGGACCAAGTGTTTATACATTACCTTCTGGAGGTCTAAATCGATCTTTAGTCTATATCTAAAGATTTTACAACTACCGAAACATATAATGGATGTGACTTATCCATATGTATTCTTTCGAAAGCTTTCATTTCAAACTTTTTTCTTTAAGTAATTCGCAACTTTTAAAAACTCATCAGGAGTTTTGATACTATCATCATAAATAATATTGATAACAAACTCATTTTGAATCTTTTCACAAACAGACAAGTTGGAATATGTTTACATCATTACTTCAGTCGATATTAACCACATATGCCTCATATAGAGACTTACTTGAATAGTGTTTTTGAGAATATAATTGTATACTTCTAAAAACTTAAATCTTTCAAGGATTTTCATTCATTATGATTCATATCTATTCATGTATTGGATCCTTTGAATTTATACAAGGATTTGAATCCTTAAGGGATTCATATAAAATTTCATTATAAAGTGAGTCATACGTTATAGTTATATATTTCTAAGACGCACATGAAAAAATTTCATTTATTACCAGACTGCCAGATTGATAAGACATGTAATTTAATCCACCACAAGACTTTATTTCTCTTTATATTGTACAAATGCCTATTTATATAATACTAGCATTACACTTCAAGTGCATAGGCCAGGGATACACAAATCCTTGTTACATTACATCTTTTTTTTTTTTTTTCTGTTGGCCAACTATTTTTCTGTCTGTATCTCATGACAGATTTATATATAAGATCCTCATTTGATCACATGATATCATCAATAAAATTATTGTCGACAATTTTATTCCTTTATCGGTCCCCTTTTCTTTTATGATATAACATATTGAGATCTCTTTATTGCTTTCAGACACTTAAACTTCTTCAAGGGTCAAACAATTGTGTCTTAATTTCTTTTGCAATTCATACCTCCTTAGTATGATCATCATGATCATTTGCTCCTTTTTCTTTTTTTTGGGAACCGATCATAATCTCATGCTTTTAGCATGTTTTCAAAAATAAGAGCACTTTTAGCTGGAATATAAGAATTAAGAATTCTTATTTTGATCAGTAGTTAGATCTGGCAGATATTAATAATATTTTATGAATGCAATACTTTATAAACTTCTAGTTCATACTACTATATTTGAGGATCTACATTTAATAGTAAAAATGCATTCTATGTATTCTCTTTTCCAGCTATACATTTTCTCCCCCTCATATTGGGAACATATAATGTAGATATCCTAAATCCATAAATCTCTTTTAGAAACATTATTTTGTTTCATTTAGAGACAAATAAGAATAAGGAGATTTTATTCAACAGTGATCCCAACTTATTTTTAATATCCATCTATGTGCGCTATTGCGGTGGAATAATAGATATCACACATTTTAAGATGAAAAATGTCTGGCTCCTGACCAAAAGCCAATTATAATGGGAGAATTCACAATACATTGTTGGCTTGATGCATTTATGTGCAAAAATATATAAAATCAATTATCCTAACACTCAAATGGGAATTCTGTTCTCATAAACTCTAATCTAGCTACTTATGGAGGTTTTTATAATGCATATAATCATCAGCAACGTGAGGAACAATCATTAGCAATCTCAATGAGAATCATATTGATTTCATAATCAAGAGCTTATGCACTCAATGTAATTATCTGAACATATTTGTGAACTTCAAGTTGCAAGTTGATCATAAACACCAGTGACCATTTTATAGATGCATCTTTCACTTACAGAGTATTACTTTGGTCCACATGGTGTCCAAATGGGCTCATATATAAAGTTGATACATTATAAATCTGTACAGATCTGATTTTGAGCATAGCTAGTGATGTTCTCTTTGAGAACAAACAACACATAAAAATTCTTGAATTATATATCATTTTTAAAGAATCTTCTGGTTCTTTAATAAATGACAGTGCACATTTTTCATGATATTTTGCATCATTATGATCCGGGATGATCTGACTGATCATGCCAAACTATAAATACATAAACTTCTGGTTTATTATAAAATTATTCTCAATTATTAGTAAACTTCTTGTTACCATGTCATATTATTCATTTTTCACCTTAATATTTCATAAGGAATATGCTATCAATTATAGACTTTATCTTCAGGATAATAAATCATAATATAGATCTTCTAGAACGTTATTTTTAATCTTTTACCTAATGGTAAAAACTTGTGCACTCATGGAAGGTTGAACGCTATTGACTCTTCTGAAGCTTTTTTTTTTTCAAAAGAATATGAGATATAAGAAATGGCATTAATATTAATAATAACAAATTCCATTCAACGTAATTCTCACTTGTATTTCAACAATCTCCCCCTCAAGTGTGAGTCATATAAATAAATTTTCTTATTTCTATATTTCAAGTAGAGTGAATAGCATATAGTAAGCTAATAACATATTTTTAACTTGAAAATCCAAATGCTTTCTAATTTAGATATAATAATGAATTTTAATCTAGTTATGCTATCACCTTAAGACCCTTTAATAAACAAATATTCTAATATATGTAGTTGTTCAATAACTAACATATATTGTTTTTTTCACTATATGATATATTTTACTTGTTATGTTGTTTTAAAGTATATGTTTGTTTTTTTTTTCAAAACATAAAATTTTCTCGAGATTTCATTATTCAAAAACTTCACTTCTTTATATATATTATGTAATGCTTCAAAACTTATTCATAAATTTATAAATCCAACAAAAATTTGAAAAGATCTATAAGGACTAAAATCAAACTATATAGTTATGAAGATTTAAATCATAAGCTTTCAATGCTATTTATAAGTCATTAGTCTTCAAGACTTTATATAGTAAATATATATATTTTAAAAATCATTTGTGTCCCTTAATATGTGAACCATAAGCCTTCGAGGCTTTAAAAACATCATAAGTTATTATTTTCATGCGATTCAATAACATGAGTGTAATGGCTACTGGCCATTTAGTAATAGAAAATTATAATATTAATAAATATTAAATTGAATGTCAAGAATATATGTGAATAAGATAAAAATAAAACTTAAATTTTAAATTAATTAAATATAACATAAAATAAAGAGAAAAAGGTAAACTCTTACCAACACATCCTTCACTATATAGTCATTAGTTTTCTGGGCTACATTATTTATAATTCTAATTGTCATATTTTTTTTTTTATAAACAAACCATATAATGATCCTTCTCATAATCAAAACTATATGACTTCGGACCATTTAATAAAGAAAATAAAGATACATGGCATTTAGCTATTTAATTTCAAAATAAAAAAATAAAAATAAAGATATATGGTTTCTGACCATAAGATAAAAATTTGATGTTATATAACTTCTAGCCAATTAATAAAATAACAAAAAATTAAATATTTATGACTTCTGGTTAGAATATATAACATAAAAATTATATAGATGCGAGCCATTTAAAAAGATATAGAAAAATTATATATATATATATATATATAGCTTCTGGCCATAAAATAGGAAATTCAATGTGATATATATAAATAAAGATAAATTAAATATATATGTGGCTTCTGGCCATAAAATAGAAAATACAAATTACATGGCTTCTAGCCTATTAATGAGATAAAAAAAATTCAAATACATATAGCTTCCGACCATAAGATAGAAAATCAAAGTTATATGGCAATTAGCCATTTAAT